CACCCTCTTCCAAAAAAGGCGCGCTCAGGGCGCAAGAGAGGGTGGGCCCAAGTCAAGGGGCATGTTGATTGGAAAATCAACGTTTCTAATGAGAACCAATCAGCATGCCTCCTTGCACTTCCGACGTTTCGAGGAAGTAACGACGGAACGTCTCGTCAGAATCCCAACATTAGTCATCCGAGTCGGACTAAAAAGAACAAGAAAATAAGTCAACCGTGTCGGACTTAAACAGTTAATCTCAAATAAAGTCACCTAAGTCGGACTTAGAAATTTCACGAGTCATTTGCGACGTACTTAGTCATTTTCACGAGTCCACCGTTTAGGACGTCTTCGAGTCAACCGTTCGGACTCATTCTCAAATATTATCCCCAAGATTAATTTCTTTCGGATAAACGTGCGCGAGTCAGCGCAGTTTCAGTGTTTGCTTATAATTGTCATGAGAATTTTCAAAATTTTCGAATTCCTTTAACTCTTTCGAAATAACTGTACTTCTCATATCAATGCTATTTACCAATGTTAACCCATGAGTTGGCGCGTGAAAAGGCAGAAAAATTTGCACTTTGAATTTTTTATTTAGGCCTAATAGTTCCCGAGATATTTGCGAAAATAATTTTTTCAACCCCAATTTTAAGGATTATTTTCACCACTTCAGAGTGGATGTTTGCCGATGAAGAAAATACGTATCAAATATTTTTTCGAGTTCTAAAACATAAAAATTTCATAAAAATCGGTGTGTATCAATTGGGTGATGTCCCTTGTTATGTCAAAAACAATGACAGTCAACTAATATCTTCAGAGTGAGTGAACATCTTGAATAGCATGAATTGCGTGATTGTCTTTATTATTCTTATTTGCTGAAATATAACGCTGAAAGTGTTCACGGTGGGAATAAGCGTAACTACTTTTACCTTTGGTTGATCTCAACACGCCCCAACTCTTGGGTTGACAAGTGGTTTGCCAAACAGCCTAGTTTCATACACCCGTTATGACTCGCATATTATGTATGACACGTACATGTTTGACAAATACATCTCCATATGCATAACATACAACAAATTCAAGAAATTGTGAGTGTTCGCCTATCTTTTTTTTACAAATGTTCTATACTCGGTGTTCGAGCGAACTGTCGCGTGGGCATTTCGTTCCTCGAACGAAAATTGTGGAAGAAAATCCGTGGCCGAAGTGACGCAATCTATCAAGAACGAAAAGATTTATTCAAGGAAAGAATTTTATATACAGTTCAAGTACGTGAAATGTAAAACGTCAAAATTTAGAAGAAACGAACGCGAGGCGATACCTAATGGCGACGTAAAAGTTAACATTAATTGCCGTTAGATGGGGACGGATGCATTAATGCGTGTATCGCCTCGCGGTGAGAGTACCATTGCCAATAAAAACTCCTATAGGAGTATAAAATTGCGCATAAGTTAATCGAATCTTTTCTCGTTACAAATAAACGACGTCTAGAATGTTGTTATAATGATGTGGTTTAGGGAATATAATAGCGAAACGAATTCGCGTTAGTATACCATATAACCGCGATTAAAAATAAATGGACAGTAGTGATGAATTTTCAGTGATGAACTCTAACGCTTATATGTATAAAGTAAAATAAAACTACCATATAGATAGTAAATGCAATTTGTTTTAATAAAAAATTAGTTTTCAATAAATGGAGAATAGCAGTTTTAAATGAGCACATATGTTTAACAATAAAATACTTTTATATTCGGTATTTAAAAATACTTTTTACTTTGCAGATTTAATTAAATGGAGAATTATAGTAACTGTTTTCAAGATATATCCTGTGAGAACTTATAAAAATATCGATTTCTTTTCGGAAACTAAAAGAATTCTTTTTTCAGAATATTAAAAAAAAAATTGA